TTTTTTGGTCTTTTTGAGACAGGGTATCTCTATGCAGTTCAGGCTGGCCTTGAGCTCACTTTGTAGTCCAGGCTGGTCTCGAATTCACAGTGATCCTCCTGCCTCAGCCTTCCAAGTGCTGGGATTACAGGCACGCACCACCACACCTGGTTACATTTTATGTTTTAATTTTTTAAACTCTAGATTGGCTCCTCAATCGTTAATCATATCAATGTACTACTTCTGAATGCCAGGCCCTGTACTAGGTCTCCAGAATTCAAAAGTGTCTTCACAGAGCTCAAGATCCACTGGGGGAGAATTTTCCATTTGTCATCCCGCTGGAATGTGAGCTCTGATGATGGAAGTTGCTTTTTTTTCTTTGCTTACAACACTTAGAATATTGCTTGGGCCAAAACGGTTATTGCTCAAGAAGTAAAGTTATTTACTCAATAACTTGAGTAAACAAAGGAAGACATACCAGGTGCAGGCAAATTTAGGTTTGGTATCCTAACAAATCCAGCCAGGTTTTGTTTTTTGTTGTGTAAATTAAGAGTCCACCTGGTGGTCACAGGAAGAAAAGCATCCTAGGAAGAGAGGGAAGGACACAGGAAGCAATGGAAGAAACAGACTCATCTAAGGAGTTCCCAGTTTCCTGTCCATAAACTTCTTAGAATTATACTTTTTTTTTGTACCAGGAATTGAACTGCCAGGACCTTGTGCTAGCCTGGCAGGCATTGTATGACTGAGCTGTATCACCAAGCTGTATCACTAGCCCCTTAGAATTATTCTTGTCTCTCTGGGTATATCAGATGTTCCAGATTGTCAAAGGGTCAGGGTCCCCTTCTTTACAAAGACCCTTCCTACAATTAATGGATTTTTGCCCTGTGCTCACTCTATGCCCTTTCCAATTCTGGAGGTCCCTGGGTGACTCCTGGATTCCCATGAGATCATTTGATCCCCAGCCCTTGTCTCCATTCCCGGTGCGGGACTATTTCTGTGCTCACTGGGAGGACCTCAGGCAAGTCCCTTGTTATTTCTGAGCTCCAGTTCCTTCCTCTACAAAAAAAGAGTAGTTACCATCTCCTAAAATTGTTGTGAGAGTTAAACAAGATATGTCTGCAAAGAAAATATTCAGCAGATGGTCATTTCAACTCCCTCGCTTTCACTGCCCTCCTTCCCAGAGCCTCTGCCCCTCAGAGCTGGAATCCAGTTGGCCCATTTACTGGGAACAGCTTAGTTTCAAATGTCACTTAATCTGGGCAGTCCTTCCTTATTCGGAGCCCTGGGGGAGAGAGGGCTGGTATAAATCTTCGTCAACTTCCTGGCTCCTACACGCTGCAGGATGGAGCAGGGCATTGGAGCCAAGCTGCTGCTGTTGCTGTGTGCAGCACAGTGCAGACATTTACGGGCAGATGGCCTGAGCGACCACACATCAGTCATCGAAGTGACCAACGGGGGTCCCTGGGGCGACTGGGCCTGGCCTGAGATGTGTCCTGAGGGATACTTTGCCAGTGGTTTTTCACTCAAGGTAAGGGCTTAGGCCTAGTCCTGAGATGCGAAGGGCACCAACAGAGAAAGGCAGTTCTTGACTGGCCCTCACTCCTCTCTGCCACCCAGGTGGAGCCGGCTCAAGGCATTCCTGGCGATGACACGGCTCTGAACGGGATCCGGCTGCACTGCACTCTCGGGGATGTCCAGCATGTCATAGAATCCAAATCTGCAAGGTGGGTGGTAGGGGCCAAGGAGCCCCTAGGAGGAGGGTGTGTCCCTTACCATCTGTTATTTGACCCCTCCCAGCAGGCAGGCTCCTTCAGAGAGCTCAGGGGGTAGGTGGCTAATTCCCCTTTGCATCTCGTGAAAGATCCAGTGGTGGCTAGACCCAACCCACTGAGACAATTCAGTGGCTGGCTGGGAAGGTGCCAGGGTCTGGGTTGGCTTGGGGATTATTAAGAGGGTGCCCAGAGCCAGAACGTCCCTCCGCCTTTACTTTTGCAGGTGGGGCGTGTGGAGTGAGCCGATATGGTGTCCCAACAGAGGCTTCCTTGTGGCTTTTGCGCTTCGCGTGGAAACAGCCGTGACCCCTGGGGACAACACCGCAGCGAACAACTTGCGCTTCCGCTGCTCAGACGGCACGGAGTTGGAGGGGCTTGGGCTGAGTTGGGGTGAATTTGGAGAGTGGAGTGACGCATGCGCCAAAGGTGTGTGCGGCTTGCAGACCAAGATCGAGGGGCCTAGAGGCCTCCGAGATGACACTGCACTTAACGACCTGCGATTATTCTGCTGCCGTACTTGAAGTTCTTGCCGCCCTCTTTCCAGCTGGGATGCCAGTCCCATCTCCCGCTGTGGTCCCACCTCCCACTATTAAAACTTTTCAGTCTTGACGTTGGTCTTGCTTGTTTTAGGGATGGGAAATTGCCTGTCCCTTTTCCCTCCTTACCCAGCACCAGCACCGAGCCAGACCTAGACTCTGGTAGTCGCAGGGGTCCATGGCAGGTAGTTTCGAGTTATCAGCCCTCTAGTTCAGAAAAATGTACTTGAACACACGACTATTTGACCAAGTGAAGGGAGACTTGGCTTTCTGAGGACAACTGGCTCATTAAGAGCCCAATTCATCTTTCAGAACCATCCATCACCTTAGATTGAGAAACTTCTGCCAGATTAGGTGGCAAAATGCTATAATGGTTTTAAAGCTTTTCCAGAGTTTAGAAGGCAAACTATTTTTTTTTCTTAGTTTCCTTTCCCCCAAATCCATAGTGCTTTTTTTTGTTTGTTTGTCTGTTTGTTTGTTTTTAGATGGTCTCACTGTATAGTCAAGGGTGACCTCAAACTTTTGATTTTCCTACCTCAGGCTCCCAAGTGCCGGAATTATGGATATTCGCCACCACCCCCACTAAACAGTGCCTTTCTAAATAATGATTCTGAGGATCTTTGTCTTTCCTTGGTGTCTCTCTGCCTGCCATTCCCCAGGTTATCCAGATGGTTAACTCATCCATCAGGTATCAGCTCCAATTTCACTTTCTCAGACTTTCCCTATCGTAAAAAGTAGTCCCTCTACCAGTCAATACCTATCCCATTACTGATGTGTTTTCTTTTCTTTTTTTTTGGGAACCAGGAATTGAACTCATGACCTTGCGCTTGCCAGGCAGGGGCTGTGCCGCTGAGCTAAATCCCCAGCCCCTACTGATGTGTTTTCAAAAGCACCATTTATTGAAATAGTCCTGTTTCTTGTAAAAATTGTCCCTCTGCCACCTCTGTAAAGTTCTTGAAGAGCACAGAACTTGTCTGTCGCATCACTGTATTTTTTGTGCAATTTAATAGCTCAATAACATGTAGGGTGCAGGAGAATCCCAAGCCTTGGTGTATTTGGTTGTCTTCCCACAGGACATGATCTGAGACTGGGAAGGGAGCTTAAGGCAGTTTATTACAGAAAGCCAAGGAGAGGGAGGGCCTGGCAGGTGTCCAGAAATGAGCAGGTTTAACTCAGTGGCCAGTGGAAACTCATTCGGCGGTGCCCTACAGGAAGAGAAAATGAGTGAGAATGCAGCCAGGAGCAAACAGTTTCCCTGAATGACTCCACCTCATGCTGTCCCACCTTTTTCCTGCAATCTCCACAGAAGACACCAATGACCGCGTTCACCAGCTGTGTTCCACAAAGTATGATCTCCAGGCCTGAAGCAGTCATCAGTAAGGAGAACAGCGTCACATTCCAGGGGACCACGTGAGGTGGCTCCTCGCACAAGTTCCATTGCGTATTGTTGAGTAAGTAACCGCCTCTGTGGATGGGCAGGGTCATGGGGGACAAGGAGGTCACCCCCCCACCCCACCTCATCCCATGCACAAGCCAAAAAAGATTTGCAAAGTGCTAGTCTGGCACATGGGGAGGCAGCTCTCCTAAACCAGTTTTCCTGGCCCTCGTGGGAAGGAGATAGAAAGGCAGAGACACACAGAATGGAGGACTGAAATACAAGGTAAACCTTACGATGTTTCTTGGAAGTGGTAGTCCCACTTGCCGTTCATTAAGCATTTGGGTCCAATTTGGAGCCCGGCTCCTGACACGGCGAGACAGTAGATGGCACCAAGCAATCCGAAGGCCGAGCAGAAGACTGACCGTAGCATCTGGAATGCAAGTGGAAGGTGAGCTGAATGGGGCCTCACCCTGCGACCTTCCTGGCCCCCCATATTGCAGAGCACTCCTCCAGCAGTTTAAAAGTACATTTCCTGGGGCAGGGGATATACGTCAAATGCAAAGCCCTCGGAAATACAATTCCTGTCAGTCCCTGGGTTTGGAGTTAAGCTTACCCTAAGAGCTAGGGCCGCAGAGGCTCATGGGAGTTGTAGTTCCTTATGGTCAGGCTCATTAAAGTCTAAAATTTGCGGTGCCAGGAGGGAGTGAGGTGGATGGAACCTGGGACACCGCAGGGATTGAATGAGCGAGAAATTCTGCAGAGGGTGCTGTGTCTCTGTGAGGACAGCTTAAGAGGCCAGTTCTGAATTTCTTTTTTTTTGAATCCCTTCCTTTTTTTGGTACGGGGAATCAAACTCAGGACTTTCGCTTGCCACGGAGGTGCTTGTGCCACTGAGCTATAACCCCAGCCCTTCTTAATTTCTTAATTTCTTAATTCCTTCTTAATTCTGTTAGTTATTTACTCATCTATCTTACTCTGCAGCGGTTTCCACAGCATCCTGCGCCACAACAGCCCTTGCCTCCTGCTCGAACGGCTGCAATTCCAGGACACAGTACCTGTGGGACAAGAGTCAGTGTGACAGTGCATCTCCCCAGATCCTCAAGGCCTTCCTTGCATTCTTCACGGCTTACCTCCTCTGGGAAGCTGCCTATAATGCCCTTAGCCCTTTGGACAAAAGGAGGACCTCATCTTTACCTCTCCCAGAGCACTAATGGGCTTATCTTAAGTTTGCCATTATTTATGTACCTTCCTTATCTCTGTCTAAGTTGCAGCTTCCTGGAGGGTAGGGTCCAATACTATGTATTTCCCACAAATCTTCACATGTGGTAGATACCCAGAGACTGGGAGTTAGGAGGCTTGGGTTAAAAGCCAACTGTACGCTACTTCCCACCCTATGATTGACTGGTTTCTCCAGGTCTCAGCTTGGTCCTATGTAAAATGAATCTGTAAGACCTACCTATTTCACAGGGCTATTCTCCAGACTTGAACAGAAAGCAGACTGACTGGTGTCCAGACTAGCTCAGAGTAAATTCACCACTGTATAAATGTCTTTAGCAGGGGGAAGGGCAGTGCTGTCAGAGGATCTGATGAGCTTGGTTTATGACAGATTGTGGACAAGCAGTTTGTAGTCCTGTAGAGTGCAGGACTTCCCAAGATCTAGTCCTTGATTTTTTTTTCTCCTAGTGGCCTTTCTCCCAAGTTCTACTCCCTCCCAGGAATCAGCTCTTCTCTCTGCCCACAGTTGCTTCCAGATTCCTGGAAATCCAAATCCAACTACTGCTTGATATATTCACTCAAATGTCTTTGTTTTAGCTAAGACTGAGCCTGCCTCATACTGACCTCATAATACTCCCCAAATTCATATCCCTTTGACTTTCTTGTCTTTTTCGGTTTTTTTTTTTTTTTTTTTTTTTTTTTTGGTT